TTTTTTTGTTTTAGGAACCATTTCTATATAATGTTGGAAGGAGAAGCAACAGGAAGGCTCTTGAGATATGATCCTCCTACAAGAACAACTCATGTTGTTTTGGATGGCTTGGCTTTTCCAAATGGAGTTCAGCTGTCTAAAGACCAGTCCTTTCTTCTCTTCACTGAGACTACCAATTGCAGGCATGTACTCTCTCTCTCTCTCTCTCTCTCTCGTGCAGTCCAAAACGACCCCTTAGAGGTAAGATGCTGAGAAATATTCATACATACAAGCCATGTATCTTCTCTATGAGGAGCCAATCCACAATCCCAGGTTTACTGACTTGCATAAAATGACAAAATTAATGCAGCCAAGTACTTTAATGACTAATTAAATGGGCATAGCAATACACTCATGTCCATTTTCTGATTCACTATTGGAGACTTTAAAGATAATAAAGCACCAGCAATTATTCTTGTTCCAGCATAGGCCTACATTCTTCAATAAGACAAAATTGATAAGTTTTTGTCCAAACTTCGACACAACCAAAATATAAGTCAACAAAAGGTCCTATACAATTTCAATTTCTCAATTCAGTAAATAAGATTTCTTCTTTTCTTTCTGTTTTCTCTTTATTTTTTCTTTTTAGTTTATTGGCCTCTGGTGAACTTGCAAATTTGCATCACCCGTTTATGGTTCTGCAACAGGCTAAAGAAATACTGGTTGGAGGGTCACAAATCTGGCACAGTAGAGCTTGTTGCTGACCTTCCAGGGTTTCCAGACAACATAAGGCTCAACGAGAAAGGTCAGTTCTGGGTGGCAATGGATTGTTGTAGAACCCAAGCACAAGAGGTTTTTATCCAAAACCCTTGGATGAGGAGCATATACTTCCGGCTGCCGGTTCCGATGCGCTATTTGGCTAGGTTGGTGGGCATGAGGATGTACTCAGTCATCTCACTCTTCAGTGAGAAGGGAGAGATTTTGGATGTTCTTGAAGACAAGAAGGGTGTAGTAATGAAGCTAGTGAGTGAAGTAAGAGAGGAAAATGGCAAGTTGTGGATTGGAACTGTGGCTCATAATCACATTGCCACCCTCCCTTACCCTTAGAAGTTTCCCTGAATTAACAAATCATGATATTTGGATGTGTGACTTGGTTTATGGTTTGTGTATTTTGATTAATATTTTGAATTACTCGGTACTTGGTATTGTAACCTTTTTTCCCCATGATCAGTTATTCTCCCTAGCCACACCTACTTTCTTTTTTTTTTTCGGTTATAGCACACGTGCTCTTGGATAGTCAAAATTTAGAACACATAGAGCATTAGTGGGGCAAGAGCGGAAGCATAAAAATGTCAACAGAGCAAAGATGACCGTCATATTATATGCATGTAGACACATCCACCTATAAAATTTCATGCACAAGTATGAGACAAACTATTTAATTTTTAAATATATGTTAATTATTAAGTCCTAAAATAGTAATTATAGTTNATTTAGAACACATAGAGCATTAGTGGGGCAAGAGCGGAAGCATAAAAATGTCAACATTCAAAAAAATTTGACAGAGCAAAGACGACCGTCATATTATATGCATATAGACACATTCACCTATAAAATTTCATGCACAAGTATGAGACAAATNCACCTATAAAATTTCATGCACAAGTATGAGACAAACTATTTAATTTTTAAATATATGTTAATTATTAAGTCCTAAAATAGTAATTATAGTTTATAAATATTATTCTAGTTGATATATATCTTTTTGGATCAATACTTTTCAAATAAAAATTTGAGTAATAATAACTAAGTATATAAGTAAACAAGAGCGTACCAATGAATCTTTGGTCCAATGGTATTCCTTGTCTTATGAAGACCTTGTCTTCTTGAGGTCAAGGATTCAAGTTTCTCTCTCTTATCCCCTCCACAAAATTTTTTTTTTTTTGAAAAAAAGAGTAAGAACATGAATTAATTGAGCTCACGAATTAAAAAATTGAAAATATTTGTGCAGAGCGGTAGGAATTTAGAAAAAATTATGTGAGTAAGGGCTTCCCCTTGTAAATATTCTCGGGTAAGAATACAAAACAAAATCTCACATCTTTCTGTTGTTGAACACAAAATTCGATTTTAGATTCAGTAGAACATGTAGATCTACTAGACTACAAACAAAGAAGTTGGCAGCAACAAAACAGCCTCTTAACCACTAGAGAAGTAACCTACAATAATCAGTCTACATGTGCTACATTGTAGAGAGAGGTTCGACTCCACATGTCCGCTAAATAGTTCCGAAATAGCAAAATGAGTGAATAAAGGTGGGTGGTGGAGGGGGGAGAAGAATACTCTCCAAATTAAAATTTTCTTAATTTTATATTTTGCCGATCATGCATTGGCGGAACCTACTTAAATATGATGGGTAGCACTTAAATTGAAGATGAGTGACTGAATTGGGAAGAATCAAAGATTGGAGAGGAGCGAACTCACAGGGGAGGCAGTGAGGCAGGGATAAGATTGGCACGTGAAGATTTTAATGGACTTTAATTTATGTGACTTTTACCCTCCTGTATTTGCATCTCACCCAACTTCATCAACTCTAGTCACTTTTTTTTTTGGTTATTGAAAAAAATGGGTGGAGGTAAAAGAGAGTGTCCAGAGACTACTTGATAAGCCATCATTCGTGAGATGAGGTCTTTGATCACATCCGTTATTTCTGTCAATAACGAACTTAGTTAAGGTTAGCATAACGATCAACTATCCAACCCCAATATGAACTTCAAAACTCAAACATCTAACCACAAGGTAATAAATTCGACTAATACCCCATTGGACAACCTATTCGGTGGTAACTATTGTCTTTTTTATTTATCTCATGTCACACTAGCAAAAATACATTTGCAATTTGTTTGGATGTCCCAAGAAAAAGTAGATGAAGCATTGTAAATAGAATTTGCAATATCCAATATAGGGGAAAGGGAAATCAAATTCGAACTTTGTTATTTACATAATCTTTTATAGGAGAATTGCAATATCATAGTCTAGAATCCGTTGAAAAAGTATCTAACGTGCAGTGCACCCAAAAAAAAAAAAAAAAACTAAAGAGCATCCTTAACTATCATGTGAAAAACTGAAAATCGTCATACTTGCTAAGCTTTTTCTTAATCAGCTATGATGATACACAAGAGTAAATTTATGCACAATCAATAGTCGAGCAATTAATATGGGTAATAAATGCAGTAAATAAGATCAACATAAACAACATAGCTATAGAGTGGTTCGGTCAGGGTGACCTACTCCATTTTGAAGACGACAATAGTGCCCGAAAGACTTTACTGATAAAGTAACATGTGAGAGAGAGAGAGAGAGAAAGAGAAAGAATGAGCAAAATTATGCTCAAGGTGAGGTGAGATATCTTTGTGCATTACAAGAAATTGGTCTTTTAGCCGTGAAAATTATTGCGGCTAAAAGCATAAAAATTGTCACTATATACTTTAGTGACAATATTTTTATTGTCACTAGGCCGAGGCAATATGTGTGTGGCTAAATCATTTAGCTATAACACTTAATTGTTGCCACTAAAAGTAAATTTTTTAGTCGCACCATGAAAAATGCCACTAAATATGAAATTTTTAGCCGTAGCAAGTAAACTAAATTTTGCCACTAAAATATACTATATCACCACTAAAAGTCCGATTAAAACCTGACTTTTAGTGACAACAATTAATTGTGACTAAAAGTATACATTTTACTCACAATTAAAATCACCACTAAAATTTAAAACATGATTTTTTGACAACTTATTGCCGTTACCAATTAAAACATTAAAACGAACAAAGAAACCTATCGCATATTTGAAAGAACTTTTTTTTCAATGCTTTCAAATTTCACGTACTTTTTTTTTTTTTGGGACTGAAATCAAGTACTACAAAAAACAGATTTTACAAGAATCAAAATAATGAAAAGCCTAAAATTCAAGGCTTTAATCACTTCAAAAAAAACTAACCAATCTGTACAGTCTTCAATCCCCCTGTCTAAAGACATGAAGAGGCAGTATAACAGTCTTCTTCCTTAAAACTTTGGTACCCTGCTGATCTAGTTGCTGCAGCTTTCTGGCCTGATCAGAGATTGCTTGTGAACACCTGTAACGCCCCAAAAATCACCTTGGACGACATTACAATTTAAAATCATTCATATCATGAGAGCACTAATATAATCCATAACTAAATGGGACTTCATTCATCCTCCATAAAATATTTACAACAATACCCAAATTGATATGCTGAACCATGGCATTTACATCCCAAATATTTAACTATCATAATGCAACGGAATTACAAACGGCGACTAGACTTCAAAATATTTCAAAAATGAATTTCCTAATCTAGAACAAAGATAATGTTGCTCTAAGCGTCTACCTCGGGATCCACGTTCCCTTCTATAGGAGTCTCCCAGTGGGCCGGTTCATCCACTCCCAACTCCTCCTCTAGGACATTATCTGAAAAATATTATTTGTAGGGGGTGAACACTAAGCTCTATAGCAACATTTCTCCCATACTCGAACAAGGTTCAAAAAAGCATATAAAAACGGTCGATCACCTTTCACAAATAGCATATATCAATTTTGAAATAAAATAGAGACATTTAAACAGATCTCAAGTTTAAGAAACAACAGTAATTTAATGCATAAGTGAAACCAAAATACAACTAGTAACTCATTCCACTATAAATCGTTTCTCCCAAGTTATTACAAAATCTCATACTTCCCAAGATTTTTGTAGAAATTATTTCTGATACAATGAACAATAACCCATCACTACGATATACGACTAATAATTCATTCCACCATAAACCATTTCTCCCAAGTTCTTGCGGAATCTCATACTTCCCAAGATTCTAGTAGAAATCATTTCTGGTACAATGAACAATAATCCACCACTGTATTCGTATCTCTGGTATGAAGTAAGACCTCGCATGGATACCATCGAAAATATCATGGCACACGTACAACCTGCTACAACTTTAGAATTGATCACCCAAGTGCAGGTTGTGCAAAGTAAAAAATTTCTCGGGAGTCCGAGGTCGAACCACAGGGAATTGGAAAAACAAGAGACATAAAACAAATAAAAAGTAAACTTGTAAGAACAATTTATTTAAGAAATTGTTGAGTTGAGAAAATATTGATTGGAGTAATTAAAATAATATAATAAAAATACTAGAGCATCAAGTACTCCCTCTCAATTCCATACAATAATGATTAAGGACTCAAAACTTAACTTGAAACAAGAATCAGATATCGATTGATTCGAATAACAAATCAAGTAAGAAAATCAAAAGTTATAATCAAAAGATTATTTAGGAACTTGAATAATCATCCAATTATATTATTTTATGAAATAATGATAATTACCTCAAACATGGAATAACCAGTTATTTACTCGCAGGGAAATTCAAGCAATCGATGTAAATGAAACAACAACTCAAGGATTTTTACAGAGCAAAAACTTTGCTATAAGATTAGAAGTTAAATTAACAAAATATCATAAATCATTAAACTCGGAATCAATAACATTACCGTACTTCATTAAGAGGTTCTCCCCTAATCCTAGCTTAGCCTTCTAGCCAAACATGACAAACTAAAACTAGAAAAGAAAATATGGGAAAAGAATCATCTCATAAATCCTAGATGAGAACCCATGTTTATACTAAAAATAAATCCTAAGTATAAGTAGAAGATATAAGGTTGGCTTGTAAGGAATTCCTTTCCAAAGAGAAGTCTTGTAAGGTTAAATCCGATGTATAAAATCTTTGGGGCGCAGGTACAAAATCTGTATAGACTTCGAGCTTGAATTTTGTATATTTAGAGGCTAAATCACGAAATTTTCGTGAAATACACTTTTGTAGCCCTTGGAGTCTTCTCTATACCCCCCACAAATCAAGTAAATCGGATATCAGAGTCAAACGTTATGACCAGAATACTGAAGACATGTCAAATCCTTATTCTTCTAGGATACTTTCCTAATCCAACTTTAAATGAGTTTTCTTCCATCTTAGACTCTTAGAAAGATTAAATTGCTGTCATACCTTCAAGTCTTCCTATCTCAATATTGACTCTT